ATGTCTACAGACAGCTACACGTTACATACAACTTATTGATCACCTGTGTTGTTGTTGTTTACAGTTGTTTACTGTTGTTTACAGTTGTGTACAGTGGTGGGAAGTATCCAGTTACTTTACTTCAGTACAGTTTTGAGGTAATTTACTTGAGTATTTCCTCTTTATGTTACATTTTAGAGGCAAATATGTAAACTTTCACTACATTTATGTTTAAACTTTAGTTAAAAGTTGCTTTGTCAGATGATTAAAACCAACTGTAATATAAATGAGGATGGATTTAATTCTGTCTGTCTGAATTAAAGTGAAGAATCCTGATTTGTTTTGGTTTTCTGAATCAGAATCAGTTTTATTAGGAGTTTAATATCTCAATGTGTAGACCCAGATTTATATGTGCAGTTATATAGAGTTATACATATCTATAAAGTGTGCAAAGGATGCTGAAATAAGTATTTTATGTGTAGATATCTTTATGTACATGGGGTCGGTTTATATGCCAAGTCTTACGTACAGTAAGCACACCATAGGTAGATTTATTAGAATATAATTTATGTTTTACGTAGTTTTTTTAAAGAAATGGAAAATAAGTAATAAACGGTTTCATTAGGAGTCCTAGGGTGAAATGTTGAGTTGGCTATTTTAAGGATTTCTAGTAACTGAATGAAGTCCTGTTAGCCCATAAGGACACTTAAATACATTAAAATCAATCATTAAATAATAATATAATATTACAATAACGGATTATAATGTAGGAGATGATGTTTGAGAACCACTGATTGTAGCTACGGCTGCATGTTATCCTGAAAACATCATATTAATATTATTTTAACAGATATTGTGACATGATTCATGATTAGTGGGAATTATCATTTTCATTCACAAATTTAATTTTCACTGAAGAACTATTAAAGTCATGATTATGTTGTTTGTTTGTACCAAATAAACATGTTTTCTTACATCTGAAGAAAAGTTATATTGATAATATTTTGATTAATTGTGCAGCTTATTGAAAACGACTGTGATCTTAATGAGTGAGTTTAATGCAGCCGTATACCCTGAATAAAGACAATATAGCTGATTGTGTTTTATGTAGTAGAACTAATGGTTGGAAGGAGTTAATATGATTTTGAGTTAGACCAGCTTGTATTTTATAATACTTATACTTTAACTCTTGTTTATCTTGTTTATCTTGTTTATCTGACACGGCCAAAATAAATTGGTGAAACTGAGATTATACAACTTTGTTCCTGGAAGTCTGTGTGTGTGACCTTTTATACATTTGATACTTTAAGAATATTTTTCTAATATCACTAATAGTAGCCGACTTATTGAATGTTGGACTTTACACTATTATTTTTTCACATAAGTAATAGATGTGAATTATATAATGTGAATTATATTCTGTATTAACACAGAGACAATTAGTGTGATTGTTGTTGGGATGTAACAAAGGACTTTACACCATAAGATATAACCTATAATAAGAATATTGGTCCTCTATATCTCTGAGTGCATTATTTATTATTATTAGAGGATTAATAAGCTCTTACTCTATAGTAGAAGTATTAATCTCCCTGATTATCTCATCACCATATTTTCCATTATGTGCTTTAAGTATATATTCAGTGTGTATCTGCCAGCTAACAGTGATCCGTGTTGTTCCCGTCAGGTGATCCAGTTTAGCGTCTTCGTGACATCTCTGGCTCGAGAAGCTGTGGAGAAGATCTGCCAGCTTTTCCATGAATGTTCCTCTCTGCTGCAGTTGGAGGTACGTTGGTGTGTTTGTGTTGCAGTCGTATTGTTGGAGAAATCAGTGTTAGTTTTAAAGGGTGTCATCATATCAGGATCTGATGTCAGCATGTTTTCCTGATGCTGAGTTTCTAACTTCTTATTAAAATATATCTCTACATACAATTTTCACATTTTCACTGTGATGCACAAATGTGAGAAGAAACAGTTTTCTTCAGTCTGTGGTTCTTCTGTTTGTCTCTGATGCACTTTCTTTATCACTTCATAATAGGTTTAAGGCTACATAGTGAGAAGTCTGTTTGATTGCAAGAGAAGAAACAGACTTTACTGTCAGTGTTTATAATGTTATAACAATATGACATGATGATTCAACTAGCTGGACAAAGTTGACATTAAAACTAAAAATTTAGCAGTTCAAAATATTATTTAAACATAATTATTATTATTGTTATTTTAAAGGGCTGGCACTGCACAAACAGCTCACTGTATATGCCATCATAGCGCCCAATTCCAGTGGAAAACCAGGTAGCTACAAAATGATTTGTGTTTAAAAAGCTTAGGTTTGTCTTTGTAGGTGACACAGGGTGCTGCAGAGGTCGAGGACCTGAGGAGGAGACTGGAGGTGGCAGAGACGGAGCTGAAGCTGGTGCTGGAGGGCAGCGGAGGCCAGAGCGCAGCCGAGGAGCTGACGGAGGAAAGCAGCCGCCCGAAGGAGGGGAGGAAGACTCCGACCAATGGAGCAGAAGGAGAGACTGTCCAGAGCCAGCGCTCAGGGAGGAAGAGTCGCAGAGGTGATTGAAAATGTTATGAGACATGTTGATATTTTACACATCACCTCTGGTAACTATCTATTGTTAATCACAAGTTTGAGGGACTTGTCTGTCACTTTACTTTATGCTACTTGATACTTAAAGTTATAGTTAAATATTATACTTTTAACTCCACTGCAGTTATTTGATAGTTAGTTACTTTCCAGAATCAGATTATTAATACAAAATATGAATCAACTAATGAATCCGGATATATTAGACAAACTACCCAGCAGCATATTAAGAACTTAAAATTAGCCCAAATTTTACCAGCTGCAACAATAAGGCGATGAACACATGAATGCATCACTAACTGTAATCCAGTAATCTATATATTTAAGTATATTGTGATGCTATTTTGCTGCTTTTAAACTGTGTTATTACTACTTTTACATATTAAAAGATCTGAATACTTCTTCCACTACTGTACAAATGTGAGGAACAGTAACTACATTTTGTTTTTCTTAAAACTGAAACTTTACAATTTAAAGTTGATTAAAATAAATAGGCCCATAGATTCTACTTAACTGCTGTTGTCTTATGTGTTTGTGCCACTGAGCAGCATATGAAAAATGCATTTAACATATCCGCTAGATAATAATAAACTCCTTTAGATCATTTTAAGTGCTGCGTCTCTGATGTTTCTCTGTCAGAAATTGCCAGAAAAATACTGACAATCAACCTTTTTTTTTTAATATATTTTTACAGTTGTGGCCGGTGGGGATGCTGGAGTGAAGAGAGCGCCTATAATTCACCTCTGGAAAGGCCGAACTTATGAGGTAAAACCCCTGTCTCAACTGTGTTGAGGTTGAATTGGGCTTTTGTACTGGTCTGTCTTTCCCATTTCCTGCTCTCTTCCTCACATGTTTCTCACACAATGATGAAACAGAGAGCATAAACAGGACATATTTCTAAATGAATATGGCCAACTAAAACATAAAATGTCAAAGAATACAATTGAAGTTATTTTTTATGTTTTTGTATTGTTTTATTGCTAAACTACATGACCAAAAGTATGCAGAAACCTGATCATTACACCCAAATACTGTTGATCGTGGGCATGTGGTGCTATAACAGCCTCCACTATTCTGGGAAGACTTTCAACACGATTTCAGAATCTGGCTGCAGAGAATTGCACTCCTTCAGCCGCAAGAGCATTAGTGAGGTCCAATGCTGGTGTTGGGAGATAAGTTCTGGCTCACAGCTGTTCCAGTTCATCCCAAAGATGTTGGGTTGACAGGCCAGTCAACCATTAAAACCATAAAAGCCAGTCAACCATTTAAACGCTGGCATTGTGCATGAGGGCATTCTCATGTTAAAAAGGTTCTACCTCGAACTGTTCACTGTTGTCTAAAATACCATTGTACA